TAAAAAGACAGGAAAGAAAGAAAAGACCAAAATGGATGTCAGAAGAGACTCTGAAACTCGCTCTTGAACTTAGAGCAGCTAAAGCGAGAGGAAGAAATGATGAAGTAAAAGAGCTGAACAGAAGATTTCAAAGGGCAGTTCAAGAAGACAAAGTAAAGTATTACAATGACATGTGCAAAGAGCTGGAGATAGAAACCCAAAAGGGAAGAACAGGCTTGGCATTTCTCAAGCTGAAAGAACCAAAGAAAAACTTCAAGCCTCAGGCTGCAATATTGAAGCATTCCATGGGGAAAATATTAAATGACGCAGGAAGCATCAAATGATGGAAGGAATGAACCAGTCACTGTACCAAAAGGAAGTGGTCGGTGTTCACTTACTTCAGGAGGTAGCATATAATTGAGAACCGATGGTACTGAAGGAAGAGGTCCAAGCTGCACTGAAGGCATTGGCAAAAAGTCAGGCTCCAGGAACTGATGGAATACCAATTGAAATGTTTCAACAAATGGATGCAGTGCTGGAAGTGCTCACTTATCTATGACAAAAAATTTGGAAAACAGCTACCTGGTCAACCAACTGGAAGAGATCCATGTTTGTACCCATTACAAAGAAATGTGATCCAACAGAATGTGGAAATTATGGAACAACATCATTAACATCACATGCAAGAAAAGTTTTGCTGAAGATCATTCAAAATCGGTTGCAGCAGTCCATTGACAGGGAAGTGCCGGAAATTCAAGTCAGATTCAGATGAGGTCATGGAACAAGGAATATGATTGCTGATGTCAGATGGATCCTGGCTGAAAGTAGAGAATACCAGAAAGATGTTTACCTGTGTTTTACTGACTATGCAAAAGCATTTGACTGTGTGGATCATAGCAAATTATGGATAACACTGCAAAGAATGGGAATTTCAGAACACTTAATTGTGCTTATGAGGAACCTGTACGTGGATCAAGAGGCAGTCGTTTGAACAGAAAAAGGGGATACTGCATGGTTTAAAGTCAGGAAAGGTGTGCATCAGGGTTGTATCCTTTCACCATACCTATTCAATCCGTATACTGAGCAAATAATCTGAGAAGCTGGACCATATGAAGAAGAATGGGGCATCAAGATTGGTGGAAGATTCATTAACAACCTGTGTTACGCAGATGACACAACCTTGCTTGCTGAAAGTGAAGAGGACTTGAAGCACTTACTGACTGAAGATCAAAGACCACAGCCTTCAGTATGGATTTCACCTCACAATAAAGAAAACAAAAATCCTCACAACTGGACCAATAAGCTACCTCATGATAAACGGAGAAAAGATTGAAGTTGTCAAGGATTTCATCTTTTTTGGATCCACAAATCAATGCCCACAGAAGCAGCAGCCAAGAAATCAAAAGATGCACTGCATTGGGCAAATCTGCGGTAAAAGACCACTTTAAAAGTTAAAAAGCAAAGATGTCACTTGAAGGACTAAGGTGTGCCTGACCCAAGCCATGGTGTCTTCAGCTGTCTTATATGCATGTGAAAGCTGGATAATGAATAAGGAAGACCAAAGAAGAACTGATGCCTTTGAATTATGGTATTGGTGAAGAATATTGACTATACCATGGACTGTCAAAAGAATGAACACATCTGTCTTGGAAGTAGTACAGCCAGAGTGCACCTCAGAAGCAAGAATGGAGAGACTTATCACATGTCATTAGGAGGGACCAATCCATGGAGAACAACATCATGCTTGGTAGGGGGTCAGTGATAAAGAGGAAGACCTTCAATGAGATGGACTGACACAGTGGCTGCAACAATGGTCTCAAGCATAACAAGGATTGTGAGGATGGTACAGGACCGCGCAGTATTTTATTCTGTTGTACACAGGGTCGCTCAGCACCTAGCAACACCAAGTTAAACAATTTATTAGGGAACACACCCCTATTCACAGTAAACAAAGGCATCAAGTACCTAATGAAAACGCACAAGATTTACATGAGGACTGTTATACGGCTCTAGGAGACCCGGTGGCACAGTGGTTAAGCGCTCGGCTACTAACCAAAAGGTCAGCAGTTGGACCCCACCAGCCGTTCCGCAGAGGAAGATGTGGCAGTCTACTTCCGTAAAGATTACAACCTTGGAAACCCTATGGGGCAGTTCTACTCTGTCCTGTAGTGTTGCTATGAGTCTGAATTGATTCGACGACTATGGGTTAACAGCTCGAGCAGCTCTACGGTCGACATGAAAGACTTGACACCAGAAAAAGTTGAAATAGGTGGGAGGCTGATGTCATGGTTAAAAATAATGTCATCGCCCAAATTTCCAGAGTGAAGAAGGGCCACTAGAGTAGAGTAACAAAGACACTAGCAGTAAAGATTCAACTTTCAACAGTAATTTTATTAATCTCTTAATTATCGTAATTAACACCATGATTGAAGAAAACCTGCTAAGTTACAGTTTTCAGGACACAAAGGCAGTAAGACGTGAGGTACACCAGAGCTGCTTTCTGTGTTAACCAATCATTCCGTGTGTACAAGTAAGTAGTAACAGCACTTGAAGTCTTATTTTGAAGTAACCTAAACTTTTGTACAAACGAGTCATGCAGGTAAAAAGGCACCAACAGAAGTTAAATTCACCGTGAGCGAGCTTTTCTGGGTCTCAGAGCCAAGCACCCGCCCCTCACGGCCTGTGCCTTCCAGAGCACAGGGGCATAACCCACCCAGACCAGCTCCGACTTCTGAGTTTTCCTGAGGAGATCCAGAGATGCAAAGGTTATTGCTTTACGGGTTCATGCAAAGATTTGGTCAGAAAAAAGGCCAACCTCCATTTAGTACTAACTGCCTATGCAAAAACACTCTGCTGAGTTCTGCGAAAAGTTTAAGGGAAACACAGCCACGTCGTGAAATGTCTTCTGTGCTAATTCTGAAACCCTCAAGACTACAAACCACGGTTGTTGTTGTGTACCACTGAGTCGGCTCCGACCTACAGTGACCCTATAGGGCAGAGTACAACCGCCCTGTAGGGTTTTCTGTCACAGAGGTTTGCTGGGAGTCGGAATCGACTGGATGGCACACAACACCACAATCTTCACGGGAGATCTCCGGGTCTTTCCTCCCGCTGAGCCACCGGTGGGTTTAAACAGCGAACCTTTCGGTTAGCAGTGTTGCGCCACCAGGGCTCCTTCTGGAAACCATGAACACAGAGGACGTGGTTTCTATACCAAAGCTGAGGCGAGGAGGGAGTCCCTGGTTCGGGGGGCACCCAGGGCACGGCGGCTGTGTCTGGAGGGTGGCACCATCACGGGTCCTCGAGCAAACGCGGCCCCCTCGCCTGCACTTCTCTCTGTCCGGCCAGCAAAGGAGATATGGAAACTTGTGCCATGTCCTCGGAGACCCCGCGTACAGTCACGGTCGGCATGGAGGGGGCTCTTCCGGGGGCTCCCGAGGACCACGCAGTACGAGCTGGGATTCCACGTCCACTTGCTGTCCTTGACTAACTGCTCACAGACACTCCCCAATGCCCTGATGGCCACCCAGGGGAACCTTTATCACTGCTATCCACCTCCGCGGCCTTTCGAGTGACGCTAGAGCAAAAAATCCCATTTCAAAGTATCTTTTTGCAATGTTGAGGGGTACTTAAAAAAAAAAAGTACATTAGAGGATTCTGGTCCTGAGTGTGCTTCTTAGCTCAAGTAGATACATGAGACTAAACGGGCAGCTTCTGTCAAGAGGTGAGACGAGAGGGCAGAGAAGGTTAGGAGCTGGTTGAATGGACGTGGGAAATCAGGGGTGGAAAGGAGGAACGTGCCGTCGCAGTATAGGGAGAGCAGTTAGGGTCACATAGCAATGTACGTATAAATTTTTGTATGAGAGACTAACTTGAATTGTAAAACTTCCACTTAAAGTACAATAAAATGAAAACAACAACAACAAAAGAAAATTCTGGTCCTCCACAGATGAAGGAAGAAGACTGAAGATACTCATGGTTCCCGGGAAGGTGGCCCAATGCTGTCCTGCTGAGCCAGGGAAGGCCCACCTGCAAGGCCAAACGCTCCTTTCATGAAGGACAATGCTTATGAAATCCCTTTTGGGGGGTGGAGGTGGGGGGACAACAATGCCTTTGGCCTTGAACCAATTGCTGAAAGGGTCTGTAAAAGGGTTGGGGAAATTTGTCAGTCCATAAGGCCGTCAAAGATGGCTCATACATTCTGCTCTCGTGAACATTTAGCCACACATAGCAAAATGAAGAGGTAAATTCAAAATCAGAAAAATCATCAACAGGAATTGCCCAGAGCGCTCGACCCCTCGCCTGTACACAGCCTAACACTTCCACCTGCATTTGCATTTGACTAGTCTGTCATTAGATAGCTCAGGTGTTTATTTGGGAAAAAATTCCTAAAGCATATCTGGAAAAAAGATGAAGTATCCAGGAAAATTACATAGAAAAAATTCATTTATAATAGTCCCTAGAGAAGCATCATGGATTGAATTATGGCCCCCCAAAAATGTGTGTATCAATTTAGCTGGGCCATGATTCCCAGTATTGTGTGGTTGTCCTCCATTTTGTGATTGCAATTTTATGTTAAAAAGGATTAGGGTGGGATTGTAACACCCTTACTAAGGTCACATCCCTAATCCAATGTAAAGGGAGTTTCCCTGGGGTGTGGCCTGCACCACCTTTTCTCTCTCAAGAAATAAAAAGGAAAGGGAAGCGTGCAGAGAGGGGGGACCTCATACCACCAAGAAAGCAGTGCCAGGAGCAGAGCTCATCCTTTGGACCTGGGGTCCCTGAGCAGAGAAGCTCCTAGTCTGGGGGAAGATTGAAGAGAAGGCCACAGAGAGAGAAAGCCTTCTCCTGGAGCTGACACCCTGAATTTGGACTTTTGGCCTGCTTTACTGTGAAGAAATAAATTTCTCTTTGTTAAAGCCATCCATTTGTGGGACTTCTGTTAGAGCAGCACTAGATGACCAAGACAAGAACAATCACTGAAAATCTTCAAGTCGAAGATGATTTCATTGAGAATGTACTTAAAACAAAAACGGGAATAACATTTTTCTGGACTTTGGATAATCTTCAAACTTCTCAAGATACCACCTAAAATAAGGAAAGAAAAACATTTAGAAAGGGAAATAATTTTATCACTTAAACATTAAACAGTTAATGCTTTTCATTAATTAAATTAAGCTTATTAAATTTGATTAATTAAAGTTAGTTAATTTTGCTATTATCAATGACAATATTTCTCATTACAAAGGAGTACTAAGCTTTTTTTAGAGTTGTGATCAGGACTGTAGTATTTCAGATACATAGTGTAATTCTGTCTGTATCACGAGTAGTTAAATACAGCTTGTTACAGTCATCCACTAGTCCGTCAGTGTGTCGTACTGTGGTGGATTGCGTGTTGCTGTGATGCTGAAAGCTATACCGCTAGTATCTCAATATTTCAAATACCACCAGGATCACCCACGGTAGGCAGGTTTCAGTGGAGCTTCCAGACTAAAACAGACTAAAAAGAATCGGCCAATGAAAACCCTATGAATAGCAGTGGAACATTGTCTGACATAGCGCTGGAAGATGAGCCTGTCAGGTTGGAAGGCACTCAAAAGACAAGTGGGGAAGAGCCGCCTCCACAAAGTAGAGTCGACCTTAATGACATGGATGGAATCAAGCTTTCCATATCTTCATTTGTTGATGTGGCATGACTCAAAAGAAAAAGCTGCAAACATTCATTAATAATCATAACGTGGTATGTAGGAAGTATGAATCTAGGAAAATTGGAAGTCATCAAAAATGAGATGTTATGCTTGAAGATCTGTATCTTAGGCATTAGTGAGCTAAAATGGACTGGTATTGGCTATTTTGAATTGGACAATCATATGGTCTACTATTCCCGGAAGGATAAAGTGAAGAGGAATGGTGTTGCATTCATTGCCAAAAAGAACATTTCAGAATCTATCCTGAAGTACAACACTGTCAGTGATAGGATAATACCTACACACCTACATGCATCCACTGTACTCGGATCCACAATTAATATCGATGGAAGCAGCAGTCAAGAAATCAAACGACGCATTTCACTGGACAAATCTGCTGCAAAAGACCTCTTTAAAGTGTTAAAAAGTAAAGATGTCACCTTGAAGATTACGGTGTGCCTGACCCAAGCCATGGTGTTTTCAACTGCCTCATAAGCATGCTAAAGCTGGACAATGACTAAGGAAGACCGAAGAACTGACACCTCTGAGTTGTGGTGTTGGTGAAAAATATTGAATATACCATGGACTGCCAGAAGAACGGACAAAACTGTCTTGGAAGAAGTACAGCCAGAATGCTCCTTAGAAACAAGAATGATGAGACTTCATCTCACTTACTTTGGACATGCTATCATGAGGGACCAGTCCCTGGAAAAGGACATCATGCTTGGTAAAGCAGAGGGTCAGAGAAAAAGAGGAAGACCCTCAACGAGATGGACTGACACAGCAGCTGAAACAATGGGCTCAAGCATAACAACAATTATAAGGATGGCGCAGGACTGGACAGTGTTTCATTCTGTTGTACACAGGGTCACTATGAGTTGGAACTGACTCGACGGCACCTAATAACAACAACAAGGAAGACCAGTTAATACGACTATTATTCAAACTTACGCACCAAACACTAATGCCAAAGATGAAGAAATTCAAGATTTTTACCAACTTCTGCAGTCTGAAATTGACCAAACATGCAATCAAGATGCATTGATAATTCCCGGTGATTAGAATGCGAAAGTTGGAAACTAAGAAGGATGAGTAGTTGAAAAAATGTGGCCTTGGTGACGGAAATGACACTGGAGACTGTACGACAGAATTCTGGAAAATTCATAACCTAGTCATTGCAAATATCTTTTTTCAACATAAACAGTGACTATACGTGGATCTCGCCAGATGGAGCACACAGGAATCAAATCGACTCCATCTGTGGAAAGAGATGATGGAGAAGCTCAATGTCATCAGTCAGAACAAGGCTAAGGGCCGACTGCAGAACAGACTGTCAATTGCTCATATGCAAGTTCAAGTTGAAACTGAAGAAAATTAAGTCCAAAGAGTCAAAGTACAACCTTGAGTATATCCCCCCTGAATTTACAGAACATTTCAAGAATAGCTTTGACGCACTGAACACTAATGACTGACGACCAGATGATTTGTGGGATGACATCAAGAACATCATACATGAAGAAAGCAAAAGGTCATTAAAAAGACAGGAAAGACCTAAATGGATGTCAGAAAGGACTCTGAAACTTGCTCTTGAATGTAGAGTAACTAAAGCAAATGGAAGAAATTATGAAATAAAAGCAGAACAGAAGATTTCAAAAGGCAGCTCAAGAAGACAAGGTAAAGTACTATAATGAAATGTGCAAAGACCTGCAGTTGGAAAACTAACAGGGAAGAACATGCCCGCCATTTCTCAAGCTGAGAGAACTGAAGAAAAACTTCAAGACGCAAGCTGAAACATTGAACATTCTATGGGCAAAATGTTGAATGATGCAGGAAGTATCAAAAGAAGATGGAAGGAATACACAGAGTCGCTGTACCAAAAAGAACTGGTCGATGTTCAGCCATTTCAGGAGGTAGCATATGATCAAGAACGGATGGTGTTGATGGAATAAGCCCAAGCTGCACTGCAGGCACAGGCAAAAAACAAGGCTCCAGGAGTTGACAGAATACCAACTGAGATGTTTCAAGAAATGGATGCAGTGCTGGACGCACTCACTCGTCTACACCAAGAAATCTGGAAGACAGCTACCTTGCCAGCTGACTGGGAGAAATCCATATTTGTGCCCATGCCTAAGAAAGGTGATCCAACAGGATGCGGAAGTTATTGAACAATAAATATTATTAATATCACACGCAAGTAAAATTTTGCTGAAGATCATTCAAAAATGGTTGCAGCAGCACATTGACAGAGAACTGCCAGAAATTCAAGCCAGATTCAGAAGAGGACGTGGAACCAGGGATGTCATTGCTGATGTCAGATGAATCCTGGCTGAAAGTGGAGAACACCAGAAAGATTTCTACCTGTGTTTTATTGACTATGTAAAAGCATCCAACTGTGTGGATCATAACAAATTATAGATAACGTTGCGAAGAATGGGAATTCCAAAACACTTAAGTATTCTCAGGTAGAACCTGCACATAGATCAAGAGGTAGTCGTTCGAACAGAACAAAGGGATACTGCATGGTTTAAAGTCAGGAAAGGTGTGAGTCAGGGTTGTATCTTTTTAGCATATTTATTATTATATGCTGCGCAAACAATCTGAGATGCCGGATTATATGAAGAAGAACACAACATAATTGCACTGGGCAAATCTGCTGCAAAAGCCCTCTTTAAAGTGTGGAAAAGCAAAGATGTCACCTGGAAGACTGAGGTGTGCCTGACCCAAGCCATGGCATTTTCAGTCGCATCATATGCATGCGAAAGCTGGACAATGAATAAGGAAGACTGAAGAAGAATTGATGCCTTTGAATTACGGTGTTGGTGAAAAATATTGAATATACCACGGACTGCCAGAAGAACAAACAAATCTATCTAGGAAGAAGTACAGCCAGAGTGCTCCTTGGAAGCGAGGATGGCAAGACTTCATCTTACACACTTTGGACGGCAGCTCCTGGCTCCTCCTGAGAATGTCGTAAACGCGCTGACCTGTTAGTTACTGACAGTTTTTACATGCCTGGTAGTGGCCTAATGCATTTATCATTAAAATGCTTTTAGGAGCTTCCTTGGAGTCCATGGCTGTCTGGTATCTATCCATCCTCACTGTTCATGTGCAAAAGTGCCAAGCTTGTTGGCACATGGAATCTCAATAAAACATAGAGTGCTCATCTCAGGGACTGCCCCAAATCTCAGGCTTCTGCTGGCATTCCTCCACAAACGGGAGCCAACCACCCACCGCCCCTGTGACCTTTCTCCTTCACCACTTCCAAAAACAACCCTGTGCATCTGTGATGGTTAAGATTGTGTGTCAACTTGGTTGGGCCATGATTCTCCGTGTTTTAATGTAATCACTCCCATGATTGAATATACTGTGAGTAGCCAATCAGATGAAAGGGAGTCTCCTTGGGGGTGTGGCCCGCATCTGTATATAAGCAGA